TTCTATAAAATCTCTACCATTTCAACAAATGTGCTCACAACATGAACACCTTCAACTAAGACAATCTTCATACTAGATTAAGGGGTAGAGGAAATAATGAGCCACAGATGATAGCTGTAAGTTATAATTCTCTGTTTTGAGCAGAGGGAAAGAAGGAATTAATTCTTACAGGAAAGACAGTGTAATCTTTTTTTTCTTTTCAGTTTATTCTATAGTTCACAGTCTTCCTTTTTTGAGGACTGTTATTCTTCAATGTCAGCATCTGTCTGAAACTGAGTATTTTTAGACCTTTGTGCTTAGGAGAATTTTTTTTTCCAGTGCAAGAGTTAATGGCTGAATACTGATATAATATGACAAAAGCTGTGCTGGATTTTAAGAGATCATTAAAGGAAAAAAGTCTCACTTTCTCCCTTATCAGTATTTTTTTCCCAAATATTTCCTCTTAGGTTTACACAGCAGATAAACCTAAAGAGTTTTTTACTGAAGCATGAATAGCTACTTCAACTGTGTAAATAAATAATAGTTTAGAGAATCAAATAATCATGAAAATGCCATGGAAAATGAAGGCTCCTAAGTCTGAAACTGAATTAGCTTCTGGTTTAGCAATTCTATCTCCCCACAGCTCAGAAATTATATTGTGTATGTTCATGCAGATAAATTTGGATATATAATTAGATGTTTCATCTCCTCATCTACACACAGTAGGGCTTTCCCACTGGTTACTGAAACAAACATTTCTGTGTGAATTTGAAGAAACAAAATTGAAATGATCTCACAGAGGATGTGGAATCTCCATCCTTGGAAATAATCAGACCTTGACTGGACACGGCTTTCACCAACCTGCTCTGAGTAATCCGCATTTTACAGTGCTGTGTTAGCCTTGTACCAACCAAGACAGTCAGAATACGCATTATTGCCCTTGGGAAAATTAGTGTTCAGGATCAACTGAGGGAAATTAAATGCCAGACACTGTTAGAGACAGATATTTTGATTCTGAGCTTATATGTCCCTCCTTCACATCTACCTCCTGGCATTCCCACCACCCACTGAATGATCCCTGCATCTCTGTAGGCTCTGGAACAGCAGCCTCCCTGTGAGCTCTTTGCTCCATGATCCATTTACAGGATGTGTCAAGGACAGTTTCTGGAGGAGACAATAAGGTTCCTTACACTCAGCTGGGATTCTTCCTGCCCAGATTGGGATATTTACAGTGTGGATACCTACAGGTGAGGTAGTCCCTCCAAAATCCCTTCCCAGTAAACAAGAAGTGCGAACTTCCAGTTCTCCACTCAAAGGGATGTGAGACAAACTGGATAAAACAAACGTGGAGTCAGGTAAAATCTACCCCAAATCCTTGTGTTATGAAATACTACAGGTACCTGCCTTTAAAACAGTATGAAATAGTTCTGGTACCTGTCTTTAAAACAGAAGAAGTATCCTAAGCAAGTGAAATGAAAATAAAGTGAAGAATTAATTAACTAAATAGAGGCGATTAAAGTAAATAAAGGAAACAATTATCATATCAAAATAAAAGACAAGAAAGATGATTAAATGAGTCTTCAAAAGACCCATGAGAAACTCATGAAAGACATAATATGCCTTTACCTGGTTTTTAGTCTTTCATGATTTCATTTTAATTTTTATTCACTACCATCTGATAATTGCAAGAAACAGTTACTTTAACCATAGGCAATTTAAACCATTTTAATTTTTTTTCCAGGGCCAAGAGACAAAAGAACCTATTTATTGCCTGAGGGGATTTTTACTAAAATGAAAGCTTAATCTTTCATGTTTTTTTAAGCAAAGGCTTTTAAAAAATCATTTCTAACAATGCTGTAGGGAGACACTTCCATGGGTATGCAAAATTGAAATTATAAATTTACAATTATAAAAAAATTAATAGTTTGGGGGATTGTATTGTCTCTGTTCTTTCTGAATGAATACTTTTTCAAGCATAAGAGAAAGTATTAGCACATGGAGGAGAATGAGTGTCCTTGGACTCTCTTGCAGTCAAAGCTATTTAGTCAGAATGTATGGGAGAAAGATCACTGGACTTTGTTTGGAAATCCTCAAATATCAGATGTTCTTCTGGCTCCTCACTCCCTGGCCTGTTTTTCTGTGTTGCCAATGCACTGAAGCTGGCCTGACCACTATCTCCTCTGTACTAGCATGGTGCACTCATGGTTGCTAAATCTTATCCATGTAAAATTAAGCTTCAAGCCAAATTTTAATGGAAACAACCATCTTTTGGGGTTCTTATGACACATGTTTACAAAGGGCAGAACAAGAGCTCTTGGTCAAAGATTGATTCAGGGGAGATATATCTGGCTAGAAACATGGATATGATTTATGTGTCTGCCATGGTTCAAGGCATACTGGAAATACACACTTATGCCCATCTCCATTCTGAGCAATATTTCACCTTCAACAACATCAAGGAAAGGATTAAATTTAAGTATCTACCTTTGCACTGCCCCAAATGTGAGCCATTTTTTCAACTAAGAAATATTAATTTAATGCATTATCTGGAGAGATGCAAACCTTTCTTCCTGGCTTTAGTGCAGGCTTTGAAATCAGACAAAATAATTTACACTTATGAAACACAACAAACTGAAGTGTTTTATTAAAGGAAAACTAGACCAAAAAAATACCCTTAAGGCCTCCAAACATTCACACAGAAAATTTTAATTTTTTTTCCGCCAACATATTTCAAGTTTTAGTGGAAACACTTTGAGCTACTATGAAAAGCTTTATCAAACTAAATTCATTTTCCATGGAGCAGAGAAGAATCACTGAAGATATCATTCAGGTCTACAAAATACATAATAGGGTGGAGAATGTGAAACCAGATAAGCAAGGTTAAACTAAAGAACATTTTAACAAGGCTTGATTTTAGGTTGGTTGTGCAACATAAATAGGTCAGTAGGCCTATTTGAGATTTTTCAAGCTGTCTAATATTAGAAATACAGGTGTACACGTAGCATCAAATGACTTTCAAAGGCACCTGGCATTCTGAAGACACTATTTGAAAGGCTAAATGTCCAGATTTTTTTTTAAATCAATCACAAGTTCAATGTGCTAGCCAAAATCATCAACCAATTTGGAAAATACCTTGGTATCTGCTCTGTAATACCACCCTGAGCAATAGGAAGCTCTGGTTACCCCAAAGATGTATCTGCCCAGCCCAGTGGAAGCACCTGTCTACCATGGTCCTCTGCAGACCAGAACATCAGATAAAATCTCCCAGGTACTCAAGGAGCCACTAGATCAAGTTAAAAGGGAACAGCAAGTCAGACAGGCAGGATAAGAAGACTATTGGAGAGGGAAAGAGAGAAATGTGGGCCTTTAAGGCTGAAGCCAAGTTCTGTGTGTACATGGCAAAACAAAGTGCATGACAGGAACATTCTGGTGCCACTGTGTTGCAGAGCAGCAAAGCAAAAAGGAGTTAATTTCCAGCCCATCTGCACCACAGTGCAGTGCATGGAGTTGTCCTGGGAACTCTTGTCAGTATGGGTCAAGATATGTAGTGTGTGTCTTGGAAGGACAAGGCTGCTCAAACATTTATCAGCTAAACTGCAGATACCACACAGCATGCATGAAATGCAACATTGCTGCTTCTGTAAATGGGGGGCATTCAGACAGGTGTAACATGGAAACACTGACACTGGCAGTAGCCTTTTGCAAAGTGCTAAGTCCCAGACCCAGGACAGAGGGAATAGATTACTCAAATTTAAAAAAAAAAACACATCAGCAAGCCAAAATTATTTTCACCCAACCTGCTTTTCAGTGATGTTGCTAATATTATTTTTATGTCAAGATGAGGCTCATGCCAGAAACAGGAAAATTCTGCACAAACTTAGTACTAGAAAAGCTTCTTTCCATTTAACCTCTGTCCCAAAATACCAATAAAACTGAAATATAATGGGAGCCCTGGCTAGCACTGACACCCAGCACCACACTCAGTCCCAGTTCTATTGTGCAGTGAAGACCGTTTTCCTTACTGATGAGCTCAAACAGTCTGCCATGAATTACTTTTTCATGGGGGATAAATACACACTTAAACAAGATTAAACACAAATGTTCTTTAGTGGTGTCTAAAATAATATGAATGTTTTTTAGAACAGCAATAAACACACTTCATGATGCAAATAATTACGCCCTGCAGCCTTTATGTAACAATAACTGGCCGGATTCTCTACTCAGCTACATCACTGTAAACCCAGAGTAACTACACTGAATCAGCATCTCTCTCTGTGGATTCTGGAGATCCTGAAGCATTACCTAAGTCTGAATTTGCCCCAGCTTCTCTCTAGGGTTTTTGCAGATAGCAGACATGCATGGCTAGAAGTCTACATGGTGGTCATGGAGGCATTTCCACCTCTTATCCTGTCCCTTTTGCCCCCATATATCTGACTTCTGCTTAGTGTAATGAAGTCAGAATCTGGCTGTGTATTCCATGTGCATCTGATATCACTTCTGTAACTCTGTACTCAGAACCAGAAGAAAGCTCAACTGAGATCCAGCAAGAGAAGTGAAAAAAAAAGTACTTCACAAAAACTCATGAAGGGTGAAGGCAATATGTGCATGTGATGGGAATCAAATATCAGTATCTTGGGGTTTAAAAAGAACCACCTCAGCTGATTTTCCTTTGAAAAGGAAGGGAAGAATTTGATCATGTTCTGAATTCTTTGTGAAAAGTTAATTTTATCTTAAATTCCTCATGCAATTGTAATTTTCAAGCAGAGTTTTTTAAGATGGGTCTGTTAGGCTTTAATGGCCCCTGAAATGAAACTGAAAGGTGAACATGTCCACATTGGACCACTTGAAAAAGCAGTTACTTGCTTGAAAAGAACAGCAACAAGAACGTGTCCAGCTCTTAAAGGTTCTTTACAATTTACATGAGCACGGAACTCATGACACAACATGGAATCAGCATTTTAACTACCACCTTCCCCTCGGCTCCCATGTTTGTGTGTTGGAAGCAGGCACTTTGCCCTTACCAGGACTTGTGAGGGCTCCCAGAGCACCAGTCGTTGTGGAGAGAGGATTTGCATTGGTGGTGGTAGCTGAGGTCTGGGCGGCGGCTGCTGCGGCTGCTAAAGTTGCCAAATTCTGTAATTGTAAAGCGTTCATGCCTATGTGGAGAAGCAATAGGGTTAATTAAAACAGGTAATAATCATCATCATCATCATAATAATAATCATCAAAAAGTGCTATTTTCAATGATCATGGAGCTTGGTGTGTACCTTGCCAATAAACTTCATTCTTTTCATTCCCAAGACATTTATAATCTCAAACCACCTCTTACAGTTTCTGAAGAGTGTTTCTCATCTCTCTTCCTTGGAGTTGAGAGAATGCACCAAAGACACAAGCCTATACTTCAGGAAAATTAAACCTGGTTTTGTGCTTCTTCTAAGGGAAGCGTAGAATTAAAAGTCATTTAAACTCTGCGTGAAGCCCAGGCACAATATTATTTCCTGACACAATGGGGGATGTAAAGAAGATAGCTAGCATTTAAAACACATTCAGGACAGGGCTGTATAATTGGGATGAATAAAATTTGTTTCCCATGTCTCCTCTGAACATAACTACTAAGGTTACACTGTGTAGTAGCCAATAATTGTGCTCAATTTCCTTTTGATGGTTCATTTCTAAAAACATGTATGAACAAAGTACATCAAATTAGAATCAGCCTGATCACAGAGCCATCACAGACGGATTTTCAGGCAGCAAGCTCTGGACTATGATGCCAAGTCTACTGAGTCAATCCGTCGCTTCATTATTTTAAAAGAGGTGGGGGAGATGCACCTTTATTTTAGTGAGAACCTTAAAGAAAGAGGCATTTAAATTTAATTTAGATGGCAAGCAAAAGAGGACAAAAATAAATAGAACTTTTGTGAAATGATAAAGAAAAGATGATTAAGCAACAGCCAACGGCATATATTTGCTTAAATAGGAGGGACAGGAGTTGGTTTTTCCAGAGGAATTCAAAAGCAAACACCTTTTACCTTGGACTAGGTAAAGACATGGTTTGGATGGCAGCAAGAGATCATCCTTTGGGTTTGAACATATGAAGGAGCTCTGTGATAGCTTGAGCCCTCAATAGAGTTAACAAAGTGCAAAACCCCAAAAGACTAAAAGAGTTTTATCATGTTCTTATTATCTTCTGTAGTCCTGATAATACAAGTATACTTGTACTAGGAAGAGTAATACCTTTCCTACACCTAGTGATAGAGCTGGGAAGACTGCATGAGTATTGGGGAACTCAAAGAAGAGTCTGAATGCCTAGAAACTTGTCTGATTTTTTCTGAATGATAGTTTGCCTACAAGAGATATTACTTCTCCGTGCACACTTTGTAACTCAAACAGGGGAGCTTAACAACAGCTTGGAGAAAATGAAAAAAAGAGAGTTTAAATATAATACTTGGTAAGTATGTTTGAGAAGAAAAAAAAGGCAGTGAAGGAGAGGTACTTTCTAGGAATTAAGAAGTCCTGCAATAGTGGAGAGTTTTTATTTTCAAACACAGGTATTGTAGACTCAGATTAGTACAGTCAATAATCTCCATAAGGAGGGATTCTTACTGTCACAGCATAAGGGACTGTGAAATGAACCTTGATATAAGCATCTATTTGTGAATAAAGCCCAAATTTAAATACAGCATGTTCCTCAGGTGAGCACCTAATTTGATTGAGGTTCTAATATGGGTGTCTCAGTCAAGTCCAAATTCAGTTCCAATGTGTTTTTGAAAATGTGACATTTGCAATGGTGGGAGTTAAGATTTTAGTTGATCTGAGATACACCGATTCCTAGTCTGGAACTGGAACAAGACACTTGGAGAAGTTACGTGACCAAGAAAGCTCTTTAAGGTTTCTTTTGGAGGCTAAAGACCATCTTAAAAGATAAGGCTTTTCTCAAACGTTACTAATCCAAACTATTTTGCAATTCACAGTTCAGACAGAGATTCAGGTATACAAACAACACGGTTTTATTTTTTTAAATTACTCGTCTGACTTACTGGCTTGCCTTGGGTGTAAATATTTTTTTTCTCAATGAAGAATTATCTTGCTTTGATAGTAAGACTGCAGACTACTTCAAACAAGATTTTGGGGATGTAAAAGACTTAAGCTGGGACCCAAATCTTTGCGAACAAAGCAGTCAGTAACCCTCAAAATGAGATATGGAATTCATTTTCATCCTGGACTGATATTGGTCCTTAATTATAGTTTACCTTCCTATTTCATAAGGAGAATAAGTAATTCAGCAAAGAATATCCAGCAAACTGCTGATCTTCACTGAGGACATATTTTCATGCCATTCTGTAACAAGGATTTGGGAAAGCAGTGGGTTGCTCCTCCTCCAGAGGAATGGCTTTCTATCACCCACTGTTTAGTTATTCATCAAAAGGCTCAGTTATAACCAGCTTATATTTCTTCTGTGCAAGGGTTTCTTTGGACTTTTAAATGGTATACATAGTAGGATTAAATAATTGTGATGAATACAGAATGGTTCTAGGACAGCCTAGGCCAGACAAGGTCAACAGGCAGCAGAGCAAACAACTGCACTCTCTGCACTCATGAATCACCCTTGCACCTCTGTGGATGCAAAGCAAATACCATCATTGCCTCATTCCACAAAAACTTATTTTTTTTAATAGTGGGACATTTTCTGTATAAGCTCAGGAGGAACCCATCAATTTGGCAAATGAGTTTCAATGCCCAAAGAAGATGAATGAACAAGAGCTTGGTGGTGGAGTTGTCTCCCCACCCAATTTGTTTTACTGTAGTGGTGACTGCAAGACACCAGCCACAAAACAGCCTGCAGATGTTATAGGGTGTCAGCCTGGGTGTGTGCAGGAGCAAAACCTAGTGGCTGTTGTCACACCTGAGTAAGAGAAGGACAGCAAAGACCCCCACAGAACTGAGTGCTCAAATGTGAGCGTCAGCAAGAACTCATGGCACACATTGTCACCCATTATGCTCTAGAGCCCATTTTGTCAACAGTTTTATCACTTAATATGCATTCTCTTCAGGACCCTCTGTCTGCTCAAACATCTGAAAAGTCCTGTCATCACTGTTTCATGTTCCCCAGGCATTTTACCATCTATGCTCCCTCTTTACTGGTTTCTTCCATCAACTTGTCAGGAGTGTCAACATCCCACTTGCTTGGACAAACTTGGAGAAGGGAAACCAAATGCTCTCAAGTCCCAGACCCCAAAAGTACTTTGCTTTCAAATGGGGATTTTTGGTTCAGTTGAATCTCAGCTAAGGTACAGTTCTGCGGGATGAATCTTCTCTCTCATATTCTCCCCTTTCACACACACTCTTCACACATTTCACATCCTACAGTTTTTTCAAAACAGTCCCAAATCCCGCAACAGAGCTGGACAGCAAATGAGTAGATGGATTTTATTTGAAAGTGCTGCTCACTCAGCAAATGCACCTCTCTGAAGAAATGCAAATTGCTTAACTCTGAGGAACAGCCTCATAGGCAGAGCTGCACATGAAAAATGAATATCCTTCTGTAGAGGAAAAAAAAAACCCTTCTGGGTAAGGAATAACTCTTGATCTTCATGATGGAGACAATGTTGGGAATTAAAGGGAAATGATTAAAAAACCCAGATTCACAATACAGTTTGATTCCATTTTTAATAACATGTGTTTACCAATGTGCTATCAGCTTGGCAAATATTCAAGATCGCAAGGAAATTCAACTTTCATTTTGTTATTTGGCAGATTAAAAAAACAATTAAATTATGTACAAAACAGATGCACAGTATGCCTTGCTTGAAACTTAAGATTTTAAAAAAAATTATTTATAAGGATAGGGGCATGAAAATTCAATTTAATGTTCACCTTAGGTAATTTTGTGTCTTATTGTTCACAGCAATTACCATAAATCTACATATCAATAAGCAAGAACAGATGTCAGTTGTTACAAGTGCTTGCCAATCAGGCCTGTTAAAAAGTGACAGATGGATGGTGATAGAACATTCTCATAAGGCCTATTAGCACATTCACAGGAAATTTTTGTAGTGCTGCACAGTCACAGATGCAGTTCTGTGAAAACACAGGGAAATTTGAGAACACGAGATTTACATTTTACAACTTCTTGTGCTGCCTCTGACACAAACTTTCATACAATGAAGTAATTTGCCTCGTTTCAGTCACTGCAGCTTTTCTCCTGTGATAACTGTAAATTTGGAATTATTGGGTATTTGTAGAGGAGGGAACGGAGTCACAAGCCGTTCCTAAAGACTTCTTAGGCCTCATCAGCTCTTGGGTTTCTAAAACCATAATAAAATCATATTAGAAAATAGCTGAGATTTGCTTACTGCACAAATTCCTAAAAAAAGAAGGCACCAGCTACATTTATTGGCACTGTAGCATGGAGAGTTTCAAAGTCACTGGTGATTATCAGAACCAAATCTGATCGCTCATAAGCAGTTCCCACTGACTTGACATATTTTGCTTTGGAAATTTTATCCTTCTCAATTATTAGGATTTAATCCATCTGAATTAAATCCTGGCTGCAGCTTAAAAAATGTGGATTAAAGTAAAATTTATCATCTCCAGGCTAAAAAGCAACTATTTGCTAACATGGACATCAGCCATTTTGGACGCTGATGGTAAAATGTGTATTAAGTGTGGAGGGTGAGGCTATTCCAGCATTATTCAAAGAATTAGAATAGACAGGAGATGTAAGTGCCACCTCCATCAAAAGATATATATTCTGTGGTTACTTTTAGAAAAGCTGCTTATCTGAAAAGTGCTTGAGGTACCCTGACCAGCTACTGCTTGATTGAGCAAAGCCCTTAAAACAACTTTTAAGTCCACTATTGATTCTGCCCTGCATTTTAAGAGTATGTGGTTAAATCTGACTGCAGGTTCACAGAATCACAGAATGGTTTGAGTTGGAAGGGATCTTAAAGATCACCTAATTCCAACGCCCTTTGAGCTATTTGTTGATGTATGTAGGATTTCAGCCCATTTTCAGGTTATACATGCTTTAAACACATCCTGGCAAGAAGGGTGCTTTTGTCAATTGAAACTTCTTCAGTTCTAGTGGGAAGATTCATCTGATCTAACTTTGTCCAAAAAAAAAAGTTATTCACTTAGGATCTTGCTGTAGTCAAAC